AAAAAAAAATCAAAAATTCAGTAACAACTAAAAATGTAAAAAAAATATGCATATGCTAAAAAGTGCTGGTCTACAGATAAACAAACAGATAAAACGTCTTTAAAAAATGCCTAAAAGTTTAACAATTCTGCAGCGAAAAAAAAACCTGTATTCAAGAAAAACTTTTAAACCAACCTCTTCCTTATTTTCTTCCCCAGAACTCATTACGATAGCCGACTGCGTAACACAAACTTTTTGCAACAATAAAAATGAAATGTAAAATAACTCTGTTTAGAAAGTCTCATACGGTCGAATGCTCATGCATGAAACCCACAGCTAAATAGATGAACACTTCCCGTCCAGTATGAAACCTATTACACAATACCGTTTATACCCGCTGGCATGAATTGGAGCACTGATAGGAGAAAAAAGAAAAATAAACCAGATACTTGAAAAACGCTCAACTACTACGTCAAGACCATAAAAAAATATTTGAAACTGATTCAATTGAAAAAAAAGACGACCAGAAAAGATGCACATGAATGAAGCTACACTGAGCAATATTTCATGTCTATCCTACAATTGTTATATGGTTGGGATGTCTGATTTTGAGCAAACATCTGATAACTTCTTTAACATCCGCGGTAAAGCAGAAAAACAACACCGATTACCCCTTCAACCAATTTCAGATTTTACTGACAAAGTTGTTTGAAAATAGAAAAAACTAAAAAACATAAAACTAAATTTACCTCAACAATTTCAATATAATTAGTAGGAACCAGACCAACACAGCCTTTCCCATTCCTAGCTTTCCACCATTCTGGATCATGTGCTGGATGTTCTATGATTTCAAGTTTCTCGCCTATAAAAGTCTGTCATCTTGCATAGTTAAGAACTTCTGATTCTTCCGCAATTTCAGTAGCAACAGAGACAAGCCTTTTTTAACAAACAAAACCAAACCTTTCCGAAAAGATAATTCTTCTGGACTCTGAGCATCAAAAGCATAAAGTGCAATAACAATTTCCATTACTTTTGGCGCTGAGGAGGGAATACTTAAATTACATTTCGCCTGGAAATTTCAATGTCATTTATATTTATATTAATAACAAGAAACTAAATGCAGCGACCAGTCATTTGCTTTCAAAGAAATGGTTAAATTAAACTAGACTAAGAAGTAGAACCTGAATATAAATACCAAGGAAGACCTTGCATTACCGTTTTTACAATAGCTCCGTTGTCAAAGCTTTGCTTAGGCGATGCAAAAGTTGCAGGAGGAGATTCATCAACATAATTTGAAGGAAACCACCCAGTCTTGCCATGACACTAAAGAAAAACTATCTGTGTTCCAAACTCTAACGATAATCTAATGTAAATCTACTCATAACAAACATTGTATAATCGTTCAAAAGTTCCTCGGTTAAAAATATATTAACTAAAATCAAAGAAAAAATAAAATCACAGAAACTTTGTTTCACTTGTCTTACCACGCCTTTCCACCACCCGTCGGAACTTTTTTCTAAAACATCAACAACATCACCCTTCGTTAACCGCAGTTCATCTTCCCTTTGTGGTTCATAAGAATATTTGGCAACTGCAGTCATCAAAAAATCAGACTGAAATTCGCTGGTGATTAATACTATTCAAATGTATATCAAAAATGCAGTAAATATACGGAAAAACATAAATTGTTCAACTTTTTCTGCTTTACCAAAAAAAAAAAAAAACATTGTTTACAAACCAAATTTAAATCAAAAACTGATCAGCAAAATTCTCACTAACTTTTACTTTCCTATCAAAACCGTTTTCAAATGTACCGTTACTCGACACAGCAGCCAAAGCTGGGCGAGCTGAAGAAGGCTCTGAGAAGGAAGCGTTGTAAGAACCCTAGAGAGCATTCGTTGTGCAAAAACTTATTAGTTATGAATCAAGACAGACTCTTGCAAAATTTGAATATTTAATTTATAAAGTTATAAGCAAAAAGCAGATGAGATTTCTTCGCATTTAAAAGAATGTAAATCTATTCAACGTGCAACTGACCTGTGGGTAATCTTGTAATTTAGATTTCGATTTATTTGGTTTACCCAAACCTTTTATCGTACCTTTTGCCTTCTCTACAAACGACTCTTTCCGTACGTAATTTGAAGGAACAAACCCGATTATATTATCTTCGGTTATTACCTAAAAAAAATCTTCATAATTTTTTCAATTAAGAGTG